GAGGGCGTTGCGGGTGTCGGTGACCTCCAGCTGGGACTGATTGACCTTGCTGGCGGCGTGGCTGAGCATCTCCTGGCAGGCGGTGTCCAGCGTGGACTTCTCGCCCAGCCCCTGCTCGGCCAGATAGACCATCTCCTTGGCGGCGGCATGAATGGACTTGGCCTTCTCGTGGCTGGCCGCTGCCAATTGGGTTTCCTTGGCCAGCTGGGCGGCGTAGATGCGCGATTCGTAGTACGGCTTGGCGGCGTCAATGGAGTTGCCCAACTTGTGGGCGGCTGCCTTAATCCTCACCACACTTTCGGCCAGCAAACGCTTGAACTCGCACTTGGCCTCCTTATTTGGTTATTGGGTTATTTGGATTTGGACATGGATCGCAAGCAATGATAGTAAGTAATTGGGGTAACTGGGGAAAAATCAATACTCGCCCACTCACATCGAGCTCCACTTCGTATCGGTTGATGTTGTCCGTGGCCGAGTTCAGCTTCTCCAGCTCCACCTAAGCGACGCCCGAGGATTAGGTGGCTTGGCGCGTATACGTGTATGTGGGTGAACCCTCACTCACCTGGACCCTCGGATCCACGGGCGTGTTGCTCTCCGTTGACATGGTGGCTGCTGATTTGGGGGGAGGGCGCTGCTCGGGGTTTGCCTGGATTTCACCGTGGAGTCGCAGTGGTGGATGCAGTGCAGCTGGGCAGCGGGACAGCGGGCTCGTTCAGTGGGTCAATTGCATTTGGCAAGGCGACTCATTATCCACGGCACATCGCGAATAGCGAATAGCGAAAGCAAAGCAAATCGAATCAATCCGTGCAATGGAATCAAGCGAGCTTTTGCAGACACAATTATGACAACACGCTACGGAGCTTTTGCGCTGTGCCCGCGGAAAAAGCTCGGGTCAGCTGCTTGTTACCGTTGCAAAGCGCATAGAAACTATCGATTATTACCATAGATTTCGATAAAAGCAGAAAATACTTATATAGCAATACGTAAATGAGCAAACTGCGCTCTTCATTACTAATGCATACATGTTGAAGAGCATAAATCAACTGCTTGATTCATTCTATTTATACATTCAGCCACATTTTTCACATTCCAGCGTTCCACGAGTGTCGTTCAGTCATCGCTGTTGGCTTGACGCGCAACCGAAATACTGGAATTGCTGGCGTCTGGTCACACTGCGCCGATTACACCGAGTGTCATGTGCGTGCATGTGTGTGCGTGTGTGTGTGAGTGTTAGTGTGTCGTATGCATTGTGGCGACCAAGTGAACAAATAAATATAAATAAATAAATGCACATTGCGACCGACGTTGCGTGTGTGCAGACGCCAGATGGTGCAGTTGGATGACCCCAGCAGATGACCCCAACAACGCGTGACCCCGCTCGAACCGAAATCCAAAATCCAAAGACAAAAACACCAGCCGCAGCGACACTGGCAGCGGCAGCAACAACAACAAAAGCAACGGCGATCGCTCGCACACACACGCACACACAGGTAGTAATCCGAACGGTAAATTGTGTTTCACTGATAAAAACTTATCACCCCCCCACCTCCACCCCCTCCTACTTAACCCTTACCAAACACAAAATAAGAGAAAAAAATCAGTAAATTGCTAACACTCGATAATTCTAATTCTGTTTTCACACAACCATTTGTCTCCACTCGCCGTTGATGTGCTCCATATTCTCTCTCTGCTCGCATGACACAGACAGCACGACAGCAGCGAAATAACGGTAGAGCTAGCGCCGCAGACAGGAAGTGGTGAATAATTGAATATTCCAGCGACGTGCAGACTAAATAATGGCCACGGGCGGCGGCGTCGGCGGCAGCGGCGGCGGATTGGGAGGAACGGGATCCGCCGGAAGTGCTGACCACCACAAGCGCAACACATTCACCAGCTATGTGGCACCGCTACCCGGCGATTTGCGCGCCACTGCGGACACAAACGAATGGTGCCTGCCCAGCGATCTGAGGGACGTCCATCTGGCCAAGCCGCGCCTGCTGCAGGGCGAGCAGATAGTGGCCACGGCGCCGGCCTACATGTACTCGCCCATCGATCCGATGGACAGCAGTGGAGGCGGCAGTGGCTCCACCCTCACCGCCACATCGTCCGCGTCGGGCACGCCAGCGGATCAGCATCACAGGGAGGCCACCTTCGGCCTGCTAAGTGTTACCAATTTCAAGCTGGCCTTTGTGCCGCTGCATGCCAAGCGCAATAATGCGAGCACAGCGCCACTGGTTGATCTGTATCAGGAGAACGCCTATGTGGGCCGGAATGAGATCACGCTGAACAACATCGATCACATCTACACCATTGCCGAGCTGGGACGGGCGGCCAGTGCGCTGCAGGCGGCGCGCGGCATGGCCAGCCATGCGGGAATCAGCAGGCGCAAGAAACTGGAGCCCTTCAAGCAGCAGAACATAAGCGGTCGCATCGCCGCCCTGCACATTGTGTGCAAGAACTTTCGCCTGCTGAAGTTCGCCTTCCAGCAGCAGGACTCGAAGATGTTCGGAGCCAGTGATCAGGGCAAACTGATTGCCTCGGCATTGGTGCGTTTCGCCTATCCCATGCGGCATGACCTGAGCTTCGCCTATGCGCACCGAGAGCCGTACTATTCGACGCTGGGTGCGTCCGGCACAAGTATGTATGCGACGAAAAACGACTGGGCCAGGGAGCTGATACGTTGCGGCGCCACCGAGTGGCAGGTGGTGAGCAGTGCCAGTGTCCAGTTGCTGCAGAATCCCCTGCAGGCGGGCAAGTACACTGTGCCGCCGCATTTCGTTATACCGAAGAGCTGCAGCGTGGACCGATTCCTGGATCTGTCGCGCGCCTTCTGCGATTCACGAGCTGCCTTCTGGGTGTACAGCTATGGCAGCAGCGCTGCCCTGGTCAGATTAGCTGAACTGCAGCCTGCTGCGCAGCAGGACACCAAATCGGAGAATGTGATGCTGGAGCTGGTGCGCAAGTGTGATGCGGGGCGACAGCTGAAGCTGCTGCAGCTGACGGATCGCCTGCCGAGCATTCAGGATGTGCTGCGTGCCTACCAGAAGCTGAGGCGCCTGTGCACGCCGGAAACGCCGGAGAAGTTCATGCTGCAGGATGACAAGTACCTGGGATTACTCGAAAAGACCAACTGGCTGTTCTATGTGTCGTTGTGCCTACGCTATGCTAGCGAAGCGGCTGCCACGCTGCGCAGCGGCGTAACCTGTGTCCTCCAGGAGTCCAATGGCCGTGATCTGTGCTGTGTGATCAGCAGTCTGGCGCAGCTGTTGCTCGATCCGCATTTCCGTACCATCGATGGCTTCCAGTCGCTGGTGCAGAAGGAGTGGGTGGCCCTGGAGCATCCGTTCCAGCGGCGCTTGGGTCACGTCTATCCCGCTCAGCCAGCCGGCGGCAATGCCGAGCTACTGGACAGCGAACAGAGCCCAGTGTTCCTGCTCTTCCTCGACTGCGTGTGGCAGCTACTGCAGCAGTTCACCGACGAGTTCGAGTTCACGCAGACGTACCTGACCACGCTGTGGGACTCGTGCTTCATGCCCATCTTCGATACCTTCCAGTTTGACACGCAGGCCCAGCGCCTGAAGGCGGTGCGCGATTCGCAGCTCGTCCTGCGTCCCGTTTGGGATTGGGGCGAACAATTCTCGGATAAGGACAAGATGTTCTTCAGCAATCCGCTGTACCAGCGCCAGCGGGGCGATGTAGGTGCCCAGGCTGGTGCCGCAGCGCATCGCAGATCCTTGGCGGTCGGGAATAAGGGAGCGCATGGTGCTGGTATTGGAGCCACGCCCTCGCGTAACACCATCAATCCGCAGCTCTTCGCGATCGCTTCGTCAGTGCCTCAGGATCGTTTCCTGCAGCCGGCGCACCGTATCTTCGATCTGCAAGTGTGGGATCAGTGCTACTACCGCTGGCTGCCCATCCTGGACATTCGCGGCGGCGGGCAGCCGCAGGTGGATCTCTTCCATCGCCTGCTGCTGAGCAACATAGCGAAGGTACAGCGCTGCCTGGAGTATCAGAACTTTGACGATCTGCCCGATGCGTTCTACGAGTCCACCGGCGAATCGCGACCCAATCGGCACAGGGACGAGAAGACGGAAAAGGAGGACGAGGCCGAGTTTGTGGACGGTGTGGAGCGGCGCAGGAAGACGCCGACGAAGGCCGCCACGCCCACCAACGGACTCACATCCGTCAATGGCAACCTGCAGCTATCGACGCTATCGTCGTTCTTTCCCTTCGGGAATCCCATCGCCGGAGATGCACCGCTCCAGCTCTACGATATCCTGAGCAGCAGCAGCGAGCTGCTGATGGAGACCTCCTCCTTCCTGGACAAGTCGTCCATTGTCTGATCCACACAACCCTCCACACACAAGCACACACACACTCGTTCCACTGGTTTACTTTCAACGCTGAACTTTCGAAGTATTACACAAAAAAAGAAAAAAACAAAACATTTCAGAAAACACATATACATGGCATATCGCTTTTAACACCTTTGACTATTGTTAACTAATAAGCAAGTTATGGTATAAGTTTTTTTTTATTTCGTTTTACAATCACTAAACTGCATTGCCTTGCTGCATCATAAAAGTTAACGTAACATTGACTAAATAATAACAAACGTAACGACAAGCAATTGATGTGAAACGATTTCAAACCACAAATCAGCAATAACGAAGCGTACGAAAACACCAATTTAATCAATATGTATTATATTGTATGTAACTAAATATATCGATATGTATATTTAAATAAATCAAAAGTGTAAAATCAACAAAACGAGCTTGTACTGCGGCACCTTTAAGAAGATTTCAAATGGATTAAAAGGTATTAATAAAAGATCGATGTAGGTGAGTCAGTTGAAGGTCTATTAATATGTAGGCATAGGTTTCTTAAATGTAATATCTGGGTAGTAAACTATATACTTGATAGGAATCCAGAGGAAACTAAATAAATTGAGTTTTTAACGTAATTTAAATATTAATAAATGACAAAAACGGGGCCACATAAGGGTTAACATGCAGCGATAAATAACTGTTTAATTCCCGATTTTTTAGTCCATTTTATAGTTATTCGTGTTTTCCAGTTATAATCATAGCACATGGAAGTTATAACAAACTTATAAAGATGTTAGTATTATAATTTGTCAGTGAATCTCAGCGAAATGGGTAATACAAAACTATATTCACGGACATAAGGACTACCTAATGAAAATCATATTATTCCAGATCGGAATCGGCCAGATAAAATCGAAGGACATGACGTTCAGGATCAAAATAAAAAGGAGGCATCGGAAAATGCTAAGCATCAGGACCTAAAGCAGGAAGTAATGGAAGTTCAAGTTGGGGATCCGGCAGTCAACCGGATTTCAATCGCAGTAAAGGATCATAAGATCTTGGAAGAATACTTTGGGATTGATCAGGAAAAGCTGCTAACTGACAAACGGAATGGCAAGATGACACTAAGTGAAATTCTGGAGCAAAAGGATCTGCAGGGGCGAGCTGAGGATAACCAACAAAAGCAGGATGTGGGCAGCCAGTTGCCAGCGGGGAATCCCGATAATGCCGCCACCCAATCGAGCCCACTTCGTCCGAGTCGCGTGATTCCACCCATGCCGTCGGAGGAAACGATGCGCCACGCCATAGCCGACAACCTGATGGAGATCCTGGTAAATATGACTAATCCGCAGCGTCGACAGCAGTGCTTCTCCCTCTTGCAGGTGGGCGACGCTCTGCAGGCACGCAGTCGCATCCTGGGCATCCTGCAGCGAATCGACGAGGGGCGCACAACCCGCAGATGAAGAGTCATTGCAGATGGGGATCTACATCGTAATGGTACTTCTACAAAGCCTGGTATATCATAATCCTAACTTTATACTGTGATTACATGCCCATGATTTGAATCACATGGAATGCACATTATTGTCGTTATGAGTTAAACATTTAATAATAAAAACGTTGCGTGGCTAACATATTTAGGAAGGGATTTGATCTTTGGGTGCTCTATTGGATCATCACTTGGCCTTGTCGTCCTGCTGTTTGGCCTCCTCCGCCTTCAGCAGCTCCGAAACGATGCCCACCTTCTTCAGCTCCTCGATGAGATCGCCACTTTGGTGCATCTGCAGCAGGATGTCGCAGCCGCCGACGAATTCGCCATCGATGAACACCTGCGGAATGGTGGGCCAGTCGGTGTAGTCCTTGACTCCTGTTGGCAATTGATTAAAGGGACAGGTTAAAGCGTTGCAGGCTGATGCACACGCGGAGCGCACTCACCCTGTCGCAGGGACTCGTTTTGCAGCACATCGTGGGCATCGTACTGGACGCCGTGCATCCGCATGATCTGCACCACCGCATTGCTGAAGCCGCAACGTGGCGCCTGGGGATTGCCCTTCATGAAGACCACCACCTTGTTGGTGCGCACCAGCTTGTCCATCGTCGCCTTGTCCACCGCCGCGCCGGTTGCCGCATCCGCCGCAAAGAAGCGGCACAGAATGGATCCCGGCGTGGTGGCGGCGGATGCACTTGCTCCGCCGTTGAGGGCAGCGGGAATCCGGTAGCTTGGACGCAACAGGCTCTGGCAAATTCGGTTCATCTTCACGGCGGCGACTTTCTCGAGCAAATAATAATGTTAGCAATATTATCTAATAAAAACAAGTGCTGTTCAAGTGTCAGCTGAAATGTATCGATAGCTCGAGTGGCGACGGAGCGGCCTATCGATTACCGAACGGATTTCGATGCCACAAATTTCAAGAAACTTTGGAATATTTCAAGATTGTAATATTTAATGTATTTATGTAAATCAAAGATATTATTTACTTATAATAATAGCCACAAAGCATTACTAAATCCAAATATAAACCGAAATAGTCAGCTATTAATCATATACATCTTCAGCTATGATAAATATACTATTCCTTCGCATAATCAAAGATATCAAGGCTGACAATTGAAATAAATGTATTGTACTATTGTAGAATGCATACGTAACTATGAATATAATGCTAGAACCAGGTAAATCTAGTGTAGTGTCGTATAGGATCTTTGGAGCTCTCCCGGATTACTGGATAGCGCGGCTTGGGTCTCAGTTCGTCCTGTTCCCGTGCCAGGACCTATCATACTCTCCATTCGCTGGCTAGTTTCCCGCATAACGCCACCGAAGTCGGGTAAATCCGGAAGATCCAGTGCCAGGTGGGCGGAGAATCGCTTGTAGACGGAAGATTTGGTGCTGTCTTTCTTCACTTTCTTCCTGCTCTCCTCGTATTTCAGCTGCTGCTTGAGGAATATTGAAGCCTTGATCATTTCCTGTATGTTCTCAAATATGCTCTCCGACTTTTCAATCGTTCGCAGGGCTCTGTGGTTAAATAGATTCAGTTAAGATATACATATATGGTAGAGTATATATTATATAGTAGTAGAACATACTGAATGCCGTATTCCATATCGTAGCAATGTCCCTGGAGATTATTTTGCAGCTGGAAGACTTCATCGCGTTTCTCGAAAATCGCTGGGGAAACCTTGCGAACGTGCTCTTGCACCCGGAAAAAGGCCAGCGATGGATCGTTGGCGAATATGTGTATGTTCTCCGATATCTTCTCCGATGTTTTCTTCGTTTTGAATACCAATTCGCCGCCGCGCGACATTGTGAGATTAATTATTTTGGGTTTCGTTCTTTGTTTCTGTTTTGTTTACATTCACACTTGGGCTAGTTATCGATAACCTGACTGGGTATTCGTGCTTGGCATCCGATATATATCGACTGGAAATGCACAATAATATTGGTTATGCTATCAAGTGTGGATGTAAGTGAAACCATTATTTTATATTCTAATAAACTATGCATTTTAATAGTAATCGAATTGAAAATATGAAAAGTGAAAATATCGCCCAACACATCGATATCACTCGATAGTCTTAATCCTCGCAACCACTAGCATCGATGCCAGCAAGCAATCGGCGTTTTTCCATCTCCAGCGCAAAGGGACTCGGTTCTAAAGAACGGTAAAATTTTTTGTCAATTGATGCGTTTTAATTGAAAATCAAAAGTTAATTAATTCAACTGACGCGATCAATTAAACTCGAAATATTTTTTTCACATTTTTTTTACTGTGCCAGTGAGTGAATGAAAAACTAGTTGGAAGATCCAATGGCAGAGCAACAGCTATAAAAACGGAAAACAAACTGTGTGATGCTGATAAACTTTTCTCCCGGCTCGCATTTTAATGATTTATGAATAATCTAGCGTAATGCAAAGCCGGTTTGCGCTTAGCGTCTGCTAGTCATAAGTTCTAGCTAAAAACGTTTGCTAATAAACATTGGTACAGCAACAACAAAGCGGCAATAACAAACTTTGTTTATGTAGAAACTCCAATCAGCCACCCCAATCAGAATGCACGCACACACTAAGGGTTAATTTTCCAGTGTGTATGCCTGTGTGTGTGTGCCTCGTATTTTTGTTGTTGGTATTTATGCACACCGTGTGCTGTTGTTGCGGCCTGAGAATTCGTTCTGATTTTTCTCAGTGCAAAAATGATGAGCTCATTGATAAGACGCGCCCCATCTCTTGCTCTCCTTCTAGCAAACTCGCTCTCTCCCCCTCACACACACGCACACATGGCTGCTTACGTCATGCCGCACCACCCCGCGCCCCCTTGCTCTAATTTGTATTCGCAACTTATTTTAGTTTTATTTATTTGAACTTTGATAAAGAGCGGCGTAAAAAAGTTCCCCAGCTGTGCCATAAAGCCAATAAAAATCACCAGCACACTTTACACTTCAAGTGGCCGCACTCCCCCCCCAACACAGCAAACTCCTCAAGTGTCCACAACTCGGACCAACATTCCAATTCGATCGTTCAAATACACTATAGAATGTGCATACATATGCACGTATTGTATATAAGAGGTCTTGTATGCAGAACAAGTTGCCCCTCATTGCCTATTGTTGTTGCTGTTCCCTAGAGATAGATAAAAAAAGCTTTCAATAAACGATATAAAACAACAACAAATAAGAGAACAGCGAAGCAAGTACAACAAACATCGAGAACAGAAGTAAATAAAAACAAGAAATTCGCGCGTGTTTGATGCTAATCTGGATATCTAATTTGTAACATACTCTCGGGCGGCTAATTGAAAGCTTCTATCTTGTTTTTTTAAATTATTTGGACACAGCGAGCAAATATGGGAAGAAAATAAAATGTTTCTATATATATTTTATATAAATCATAAATATAATTCCATTTCAAAGCTGTCAATAATAAGTGATAACAAAAATAGAAATTATTCAAAATCGGTATAAAATTGCTAGTAATAGATAAGTGTTTTTTCTCCGTGTGCTAATTATACATCCGTGTGTGCGCTCTTGTTTCATTTTTGCGTCAGAACTTTTCAGCGGAGCTTTCGGCCAAAGGAGTAACACCAAACAAGTAAAACACAAATAGAGACCAACAAGTAGACGGCGACGAGGAACGACTCTACGATGGGCAACATACACACGACGGGTCCCAATGAGGCGTTAATTGTTTCAGGTGAGTCGGAACCCATGAAACCACCCACCACCCACCACTGCTCAACCCTTTCTCGCCACCACTGAAGGCTCAAACGCCTGTTGACTGATTTTGAAATGCTGCAATTAGGAAACCGCATGTTGACAGGACATTGCGAATTCAGCCAGGGTTCCATATTTACATTTCGACTCGACTTCGCTTTGATCTGCGATAGTGTTTCGTTGGGGATAATGACAGCACTGAAAGAAAAGCTGTCTAAATGCATGCTTCCATCTGTGCTCAGACTCTCGAAATTTGAGTTCTCTGTATGTTCAGCATTAGAAAAACCCAACCTGCAAGACAAATTAATTAATTAGACCCCTTTTGACATCTTCCCTTTCGCAAAAACTTGTATTACCTGTCCCATTTATTTTACTCTGAATTTCGCTTTATTACTTATCATTTAGCATTTTAAATGTTATACATACATTACAAATTTATCACATGGGCACTTTAAATTGCGTTGTTTGTACACAACTACCAAATAATCTGAAAGTATGAAAGTCTGAGAAGTCTCATAATAATCATATAATAGTATATCGTTTCTTATCTGCCTGATGACTTTAAACAATTGGAACTGCTTTCTTATCAATCTGATAACCTTACTTAAATTAAACCCTTTACTTTTGTGATTCTGTGTGTCAGTTGTATAACTAATTCTAAAACTAAATAGACTATAGATTTACATATGTTATTGAACAGGATAGTTTCTGGATTTCGACAAAGCATAGGAAAAATGTTATAATTCAAACAGATAAAGATCACATTTGCTAGATGGTTTTTTTCGGTGCAACCTTGGGTATCTTTTGCGCAGCCCTGGGGCCGGAAGTCTTTCCCTTTGGCGGCACAGAAAACTCCCCGATGCATATTGAATTTTGCACACACAACAACGGGAACAACAAGCCCAAGACAGTGATAACCACTTGTATGCAACCACCCACTGCCCATCACCCATCGCACCACCCACCATCCCCAGCATCACGAGTGAAAAAGGGAAACCACCCCCTGGTGTGTTTTGTATTCCACGTTTTATGTTGCCATTTTTCTAAGCCTAGCCAAACTTTTTCAACCCCCGTGCGGTTGTGCGGGCATGGGTTAATGCACTCTGTCCAACCCCCAGGGGCAACCCGACCCCCCAACCCCCTGCATGTTGGCAACCCCAAAACAAGAAACCCAATTGCAACTCGCTCGTCTCGTTAACGTAATTCTATTTAATTAACTTGCCAAGTCAAACAATAACTGCGGACTAAAAGACGAGTTTACTCTGCACTTTCGCTGCCTTTTGCCAACTGAAATTTACCATAATGAAATAATGCACTTAAACGGGCATCGATAATCCTTTAACGGACATTTCCATTCCCACTGGGTGCTCAGTACTCGTAAAACATAATCGATTTAGACACGCATATTGAATTTAATGGGCATTTCTGCGATATTAACATAAATAAAACAAGATAGATAGATAGTCGAGTTCCCCGACTATCAGATACCCGTTACTCAGCTAGTGGAAGCGCAAACGAGAAATTCCAACATTTTCGGGAATATCGGTAGAAATTGGGGAAAAAAATAATAATATGAAAAAAAACTTAAAACATCAACATCATATCAAAAAAATTAAAAAAATATATATTTCTAAATTTGAATTCAGATTTTTAGAGAATAGCGCCAGAAACTTTTAGAGGTATGCCACTTCAAAATCCGATTAAGATAAGTTGAGTTATGGAGTTTAGAACTTCAGCCTTGGAACATTTCTTGCTTTTTTTGAATTTCTACATTGATTCCTGTTTAGATCAACTCCCAGTCGGTTCGTATCATATCAGCCGCCTTCTCCCCAATCATGAATGCCGCTGCATTCGTGTGGGCGGTGGGTGGAAACGGGATGATACTGGTGTCCACCACCCGGAGTTTCCTCACTCCATGCACCTTCAGCTGATGATTGACCACGGTGGTGGGATCACTTTCGGGGCCCATGCGACAGGTGGCCACCTGGTGGTGCAGTGTGTAGGATAGAGTTCGTATGGAGCACCTCCAGTAATCATCCGAGGCAAATTGGTGGCCCTCGCAGCCCGGCACTGTTCGCTTGAGCAACCTCGCTCCAATCCTCTGCATGGCTGGCATTTCTATGATCCTTAGACTGGCTTTGATGCCGTCCAGCAGGTATTCCACGTCCTCCTCGGCCACAAAGTATTTGGGATCGAGTTTGGGCCAGCCCAGTGGATTGCGATCCTTCAACCAGAGGCGACCCACTGACTTCGGATGGAACTGCATGACCAGCAGCGTAAAGTGATCCTGTTGCGTCTGCGCCAGTTCCCTGTACATCTTGTCGTATATTTCGTCCTTGAAATTGGCACCCAATTTCAGGCCACTGCCTTCGTCACTAGCCAAACTGCCAGTGACCATGATCAGCTCGATATCAGGCCAATCCATTGGCAAATCCGATCGCTGCGTCTTGAGGAGTGCCAAGGCTTCGACTCCGCCAATGGAACTCAAGCGCGTGGCAGGATTTCCGGCCAGAAGGTATGATATCACCTCAGTTGGCGTGACTCTCGATGAGAAGGTCGTTTGACCCGTGGTGTTGGTCACAAATGTAGGTCCAAAGTGGCACATGTGATCGAACATTCTCTTACCCACTGGCAGTGCCTTGATCAGGGGTATTCCAATGCCCCTGAGGTTATCTTCTGGCCCGATCCCCGAAAGCATCAGTAACTGCGGGGAGTTGAAGGTGCCTGCCGAAAGGATAACCTCCTTCCTGGCCTTGAAGGTATACGCCTTGTTTTTGTAGTGAAACTCCACTCCGTAGGCGGATTTCGTGGCCTCATCGATCAGAATGCGGGTCACTCGGGAGAAGGTGAATATCTGCAAGTTGGAGCGCAGATCACGCACTGGTTTTATGTACGCCGAGTAGGCAGAGTGCCTGCGTCCATTCAGTGTGTTGGCCTGCACATAGGAGACTCCAAGCTGGGACTCTCCATTGTAGTCCGTGCGCGGCAGACCCGATTCCACGGATGCCTCCACGAATGCATCCACCAACTGCGATCGAAAGCGCACATATTCCACACTCAAGGGACCACTGTGATTGTGATACGGCGACTGCTCCAATCCCTGTAGCTGGGCATTCTCAGAGCGCAGAAAATAGGGTAACACCTCGTCGTAACTCCAGCCAGGATTTCCAGCTGCTGCCCAAGCATCGAAGTCCCTGCGATTGCCCCGGTTGTAGATCATATAGTTGATGGAGCTGGTGCCACCCAGAATTTTGCCCCTCGGCAGAGCACACTCATTATTGTTCATTCCGTGGCAGGATAGCTTCTGTGGCACCGACTTGTAGCCCCAATTGGAGGATGTCTGCTGCAGATAACCAGCCACCACTGGCGTCAGATGCGATAGGTTCTCCACTCCTCCAGCTTCGATGAGGGCCACCGACAGCTGGGGATTCTCCGAGAGACGGGCCGCCAATGCGCTACCAGCTGCTCCGGATCCAATCACAATAAAGTCATAGTTGGATAGATCTCTGGGTACTGCAAGGGGAAGTATTGGAACCTTAATCATATATAATATTCAGGAGCTTTGCCTCCACTTACCATTCGGTCGCGTGGCCTGCTCTATGAGATTAACCAATCCCACCTGGTTGAGCTGGTCCAGCAGCAGTCGGTTGATGTCCCCATGAGAAACGGCCGTGAAAATGAGCAGCTGCAGCAGCAAGAGCAGGAAAAGCTGTAACATCTGTGTGGACTGCATTTGGGTAATGGTGGGCAAATGAGCTGCTATCGCCTGGAGGGAGTTGCTTTTAAGCCATGGCTCCTGGACTGGATTGCACTGACAGTGAGTGACTCAGGTGCCATAATCGCGCTTCATACACGTCGGTGGGCTGCCTTTGTTGTTGTGGCTCTCTCAGTGGCTGTTAATCCAGCGCCACCGCCGCCAAATGGGGCCCCGCCCACCCCGTGTGCCATATAAGCCGCATACCCTGCAATTCAGCGAAGGGCGTTGGGGATTCTGTACTTCGTTTAAACAATTTCCAACGATGCTAAAATGAATGCGTTTTGTCCATTTTTTTGTGAGGTCTTAAGTTATTTAGTGATTATTATTAGATTATTTGAACAATTAGGAATTTTAATTGAAAGTTATGGACTAGCATGTGCATATAGTGGCTAAGCACTTTATATTATTTTATTTTAAATACTGTCATTTCAAGCATTCTTAAATTACTTTTCGTAATTTATTTCACCGTAAAAGAATTTTTAAATGAACTACAAACTCCAGGGAACTCCAGGAAGAAACATGCTATAGATCACATAAGGAAGAGCTAAAAAAATAAACTGACACGGAAAATCGTAAAAAAAACTTCGCCTAAAACTAAGAAATAGAATCCAAACAATGAATCAAATTGAGCACTAAACTAACCGAATCCAAAACATACACCAATTAGCAGGGCGAATAGAAATAGTAAACTAATAAAAACAAGCCAAGTTGGCCAGAGCCGGCTAAAGAAATAAAAACGAACCCAAATCAAATTAGCACCAATTAGCAGTAAACAAAAAATAAATAGTGAAAATCGCGGAGTTTAGCGGGAAGCATCAAAACATAGTTGAGGTGCTGAGGTCATAAAGATAAACTTGTCTTGATACAGTTTCAAATCAGCTGGTTCTTCTGCATAGTTAAGTTGTACACGGAGAAAAATGACTGTGATTTCACGTAAATATAAAGAAGCTGGAAGTTATTATAAAAGAAATATCCAAAAGGTGTTTAAAAGTATGCAATAAAAACCATATCTCAGGCTTTGAACTAATTTCCATGAAACCATCGACAAATATCCATCTGAAAATTTAAAAAAAACTTAAATACTGTAGGGTATCCAGAAAATGATACCCTCATTTCCTGGTTTAGCCAAATGTGAAGGGAGAATGACAAGATTCTCACTTTTTAAGTGTCGTCTGCCATTTGCGGGTTCATTTAACTTTGGCGCGTGTTCTCCCAACGCTGGGCCCCCAAATGCACTTCAAGTTAATATGTAAAATACAATAATATCGTATATACATATATCATCGATGAGGCATACACAATGCCGGCGCTCTATTAGTATTTTTTCGGCCAGACTGCCGAGGCATTGAACTTGGAGGGCGTAAACCTGTTTTTTGATGCCTCGTTTGGCCGATTGGGACTCGGATCAGTTGGAGACCGGAACGGATCGGTGGGAACTTATTAAGCTAGGTCATGACGTGGTCCACATTGGATTGACCCGAACCGTTCTGAAGACCCCGTTTGACGCTACACTCAACGGATTTGAGTGGCAATTAAGTTCAAAAGGCAATTAAAACGATTTCCGTGGATGTTTATTTAAACAAAAAAGATGTTAGTAATGTTATGAATTTGACATAAAGTTTTTTCAGAATGATTAATAAAATATGATACCCTTTAAAGAAGTCCTATGAAAATTTGATTTCTTTTTGTGTGTCTTATCGATTTCAAAATTATGTATGGAACCCAAAATTCATTTAAAATATTAAAGAACTGTCAAATGCTTTTAACGTGTGCCGTTTTTACTCGTTTGCTTACTTTCAAACTTTCCTCTCGCATTTTATTAACCCCTTTACATAAATCGCTGATGTCTCTGAAGATGCTCTTCACCTGGCTTTAATCAACTCCATTCGGATCGTATCATATCAGCCGCCTTCTCCCCAATCATGAATGCCGCTGCATTCGTGTGGGCGGTGGGTGGAAACGGGATGATACTGGTGTCCACCACCCGGAGTTTCCTCACTCCATGCACCTTCAGCTGATGATTGACCACGGTGGTGGGATCACTTTCGGCGCCCATGCGACAGGTGGCCACCTGGTGGTGCAGTGTGTAGGATAGAGTTCGAATGGAGCACCTCCAGTAATCATCCGATGCGAACTCGTAGCTCTCGCAACCTGGCACCGGCTTGTCCAGGAGTCTGGTGCCAATGGCCTGCATGGCCGGCATCTTGGAGATTCTGAGGGCCTCCTTTATGCCCTCCAGCAAGTTCTCCACATCCGTCGGAGCCGAGAAATACTTGGGATCGATGCGTGGCCACTCGAGTGGATTGCGATTGTGCAGCCACAGGCGACCCACGGAGGCGGGCTTGAAGTGCATGATGAGGAAGCTGAAGTGATCCTGCTGCCTCAGCGTCAGATCCTTGTACATTTTCTCGTAAATCTCGGGCTTGAAGTTGGCTCCCTTGGCCAGGGCGGTGCCATCATCGCTGGCCAAGCTGCCGGCCACTTGGATGAGTTCCACATCGGGTTGGGAGGCCGGACTCTTGCCGGATGGCACCTTGATGAAGGTGAGCGTCTCTACGCCGCCGATGCTGGACAGAAAGGTATCTGCCCGGCCCAGTAGAAACTCCTTGACCACCGGTGCGCCCAATCGAGCGGCAAACAGAGTTTGGCCCGTGGTGTTGGTCACAAATGTGGGTCCAAAGTGGCACATGTGATCGAACATTCTCTTACCCACTGGCAGTGCCTTGATCAGGGGTATTCCAATGACCTTGAGGTTATCTTCTGGCCCGATCCCCGACAGCATCAGTAACTGTGGAGAGTTGAAGGCACCCGCCGATAGTATGACCTCCTTGCGGGCTTTCACTTTGAAGCTTCTGCCCTGATGGGTCAACTCTACTCCATAGGCGGACTTGGTGGCTGCATCTATCAGGACACGGGTGACTCTGGCCAGTGTTAGGATGTGCAGATTCCGACGCCTGGATCTTATGGGTTCTATGTAGGCTCGAAAGGCACTGTGCCTCCTGCCCTTCAGTGTGGTGGCCTGCACATAGGAAACGCCCAGTTGGGACTCACCATTGTAATCCGTTCTCGGATGACCCGCCTCCTGGGCAGCTCTAATGTAGGCATGAGACAATCGCGTCCGATGACGCACGTCCTCCACACTCAAGGGTCCACTGTGATTATGATATGGCGACTGCTCCAGTCCCTGAAGCTGTGCATGCTCACTCCTCAGAAAGTAGGGTAACACCTCGTCGTAACTCCAGCCGGGATTTCCTGCAGCTGCCCAGGCATCAAAGTCCCGTCGATTGCCCCGATTGTAGATCATATAGTTGATGGAGCTGGTGCCACCCAGAACCTTGCCCCTGGGCAGGGCGCACTTGTTATCGGGCATTCCACGACAGGCATGGCGCTGCGGCGTCGAGTTGTAGCCCCAATTGGAGGCAGTCGACTGCAGATGGGCAGCGAGTAGTGGCACCTGATGCACCATGTTCTCCACGCCTCCGGCTTCGATGAGGAACACACTCCAGTTGGGATTCTCCGAGAGACGAGCGGCCAATGTACAGCCAGCAGCTCCGCCTCCTACCACTATGAAGTCATAATTTCTTTGGGGTACTGCAAGAAGAAGTGGGGGAAAGTGGAAATAAAGTTAAACTAAATTAGAATTGAGGAATTCCAAAATTCGATTAGTAATGTGTTTAATAAACCCTAACCATCGCTGAAGAATGGCACATTGACGACATTGCCCAATCCCAATCGCCGCAGTTCGTCCAGTTGGGAGCTCCTTTGGGTGTGGATCAGCGGTATAAGTGGGATTAGGAGCAGAAACAGAAGCTGGGACAGCAGCAGCTTCTCCATGGTTGCGATGGCCGGTAACTGATCTCTGTGGCTACCGAGCTTTGGATGAAATTGGACCTCTACCTCTGTTTGGCATCACCTCTGCCACCGCACTGTGGAACAAGTTGTGCACGTATAAAAAAAATCTAGATAATTATTAGTTATTCTAGCCATTTTATTTATGAGCACTGCGCGTGGAAAGTTAGTTAGTGGAGCTTCTCAGAACAAATTGTTTTTATTTTACTTCAAAGTGAACTTTGCTCCACTGTTTATTATCTTGCCGGTTTGGTTCTCCCTCACTGATCTCTATCCCCCCATCTCTTTCTCACCTCCTTTCTCCGCATCTCTACGTCTTTCTTTCTCCGCTGATGAGATGAGTTGGTTGACTTTTAGCCAGGTTTGTAGGGCCAAAACAGGCTGATATTGTCTCAGAATTTTTATTGCCACTTGCTAATTTGCGCTTTCTGCTTGCTCATCTCTACGGTCCTGCCTCTCTTTCATTTGCTGTTTCTCTGTCTCTTTTCTAATGCAGGGAACGAAAAACCCGATCATTTATGTTTTGATTTGACAAAAAGATAACCATATTATGGTGCTTTTTATAGCACTTATTAATTTGTTTTTCCTTAAAATAAGTGCATTATACTATTTACATTTAAATTTGGTTATACATTACTTTTCTCTCTGTATTTCCTCTGCATCTGAGCTCGGTTCAATGGCACTTGGATAGGCATCTTGTTCTGGCTGTGCTGACGAGTATTTTTTTTTATGTCGCTGGACTGTCAGTTAAATCTTTGAAGATTGAAGCACCAGCGGCTCGGGCACTCGAGGGTTAATATATTCCAAGCCACCCCATAGGGTAATACAAAACCAAAGCCGATTAAACGACTTTAGGTCTAACAAAAAAAAAAAAAGGAACGAGTGAAATAAAAAATGGATAAAGGGGTGGCTCAGTGCAGTTGGGATCAACCCCAGCATATGGATGCAGTTCCTCCAATCCCACAATAAAAGTCATTGGATGCCCTTACAAAATCCCAGCAACCAAAAAATGAACAGGACAGGGATTTCACAGAGGACATGGATCTGAAATTTGGAGGAAGGGCCATGTTTTGGTCATGGCAATTGCATTCAAAATTTGTCTGTTTTGTGTTCGCCTTTTTTTGTAAGCGATTCAAAACGCCCCCTCGATTCATGAATATTTCAATTTGTGTTAATGAAAAGTCAGGCGTAACCATAGGGACTTTTTTTAAGGAAAGGGAAATTGGAAATGAGTTTTCACTGCGGGTTCTGGGTTGATTACTCTACGAGTACCGGTTTTAAAAATAAGCACTGTCGAAATACCATTCACGTAGTGACGAATGTGCTGTGTTAGATTTAGAATTACAGGCCGGTTTAAAAAAAAAAATATCAAAAAATATAAAATCAAAGAGCTTTAAGCTAAGCTCAAAGCTTTTCGTTTCTATTTGAATAGAATTTTAATATAGTCTACCCTTGGGATGTTGAAAGATATACTTATCCTAAAGCAATTATTCTCAATTTTCGACTGATTTATGCACACTCCACATACATAAATAATTCTAAGGTCGAATCGATGCAAATTATACCAAGATCAATCCAAAGACTCATCATCAAAAATTGCTTAAACAAAACAGCTAACAAAGTTCACACCGGCTTGTTCGTTAAACAAGAAAAAAACCGAACGCAAAAAAAAACGAGAGTAAGGGAAAAAATACATTTCCGCCACAATAAAAAAATTGAGACAGACTAAAAAACAAAGGCGTGTAATAAATCAAAACAAAAAATCGTCAAACAAGCGGACAACTTCACGGATTTCACAGATTTTGATTATGAAGCCTCAGATTGATTAGCATGAAAAGTGCGAGAGCAGAGAATTCCTATTGATAAAAGTGAAACAATGCCAAAGACAGAAGTCCAAAAAAATTCAATGTCAAAGTAAAATAACTATTGGTTTTCTTGTATTTAAAGAGTTAAAAGTGAAGTCATTGTTAAATGCCCAAAGTCAAACTAAAATCGGAAAGGCCACAGCTCTATATACAAAATTTTACTCTATAGAATTCGTAAAGTTCTATAAGTCCGCATGTATAGAAAAGCAAATTTTGTTATAGTACATACAAAACTTATATTCATTTATTTATGCTTATATAGCTAAATCTTAAGCTAGAATCAGTTCAGGCAAGAAAAAATTACTAGAGATTATAACAAAAAATTTTTGGAAGGTCTTAACTAAAACTTAAGCCCCATTTTACACTGGCCATTTGAGGTGTGATTGAATGGGACGATTTGATGGTAGGCCAGTGTAAATGGGGCTTACACCTGATTGTGGAATCAACTTTGGGGTAAGGTGGCTTCACTGGATAAAACCATGATCCTGTTTAATCATATCAGCTGCCTTCTCGGCGATCATGAAGACGGGTCCATTCGGATGACCGGACATGATTTCGGGCATAATGCTAGCATCTGCGACTCGCAGATTCTTGATCCCGTGGACACGAAGTCGATGGTCCACCACTGCAGCTCGATCGGATTTGGGACCCATCTTGGCGGTGCCCGAATAATGGTAAATGGTGAAGGTGAAGTGCCTCACATAGCAGGCCCAGTAGGCCCAACTCTTGTAGGGATGCTGCTTGCACGTGGGTATCTTCTTTTCCCACAACTTGGCATTTATCTTCTGCATGCCACGTTGTTCCATCAGACTGACGGCCTTCAGTAGTCCCCGCACCGAGATATCCACATCGTAGGGATGGGCAAAGTAATTGGCATGGATCAGGGGATACTTGAAGGGATCACTGCTCTTCAGCATGATGCGACCGCGGCTCTTGGGACGCAGAATCATGGGGAAGATCATGAAGGCATTCAGTGATTTGTCCTCGATCTCGGCAAATAGTGTATCGTATATGGACTTCTTCAGGCCGAAGGCACGGGAAATGGCCGGATTGGAGGACATGGAACCGCCCACCAGGAAGAGCTCAATATCAGGCCAGCCATCCTCATCGCGTTCGTGATCCAGATCCCAGAAGGCAATGGCCTCACAGCCACCGGGAGATCCATATGGTCCTTCCATTCTGTTGAATCGGTTAATGAGTGTGGGATCGGAAAAGTCCTCGAATTTCAGAGAGGTGGCATTGGTGGTGAACGTGACCGCCGGTGCCGTGTGATCCTGAAGATTGTAACCCACTGCCAGATCAGCCAGCGGCTTAATGCCCACTTCGCGAAGATGTTTGGCTGGTCCCACGCCCGAGAGCATCAGTAGTTGGGGTGTATTGATGGCTCCGGCGGAGACAATCACCTCCCTTCTGGCCAGGATCTTCTGCATGCGTCCCTCGGTCTGAACCATAATGCCATAGGCCGTCTTGGTTTGCGGATCGATGAGCACCTTGGTCACCAGAGCATTCTTTCTCACATGCAGATTGCTGCGCTTGCCCTTCAGCGGATACAGGTAGGCACGATTTGAGCTCCATCTTGTGGAATTCCTGGTGGTGGTGTGCAGGAAGGCCACACCATTCTGAATGCGTCCATTGTAGTCCCTGTACTTCAGGCCATCCTGCTGGGCGGCATCGACAAAGGCTTCGGCGATCTTGGAACGCCAGTTCACATAGCTGACCTTCACCGGGCCATTGCGACCAACATAATCCTCCTCAGCATCGGGCACACTGCTGCCCTCGTATTTCTTGAAGTACGGCAGCACATCCTTGAAGCTCCAGCCGGGATTGCCCAGGGCCTCCCAGCGATCGTAATCCCTGCGATTGCCCCGGGTGTACATCATGTAGTTGAGCACCGAGCTGCCTCCCATCACCTTGCCTCTGGGCCAATTGCACCGGTTGTTGTTCATCGCCAGGCAGGCGTGATCAGATGGCTGTGTCCTGTACTTCCAGTTCATCTCGCCCAGCTGCAGGAAATGCGCCACAATGGGCACGTCCATGACGAGTCGCTCGGGACCGCCGGCCTCCAGGAGCAGCACTCGCCACAGTGGATTCTCGGAGAGTCGGGCGGCCAAGGCACAACCAGCTGTTCCGGCGCCAACCACTATAAAATCGTACTCGCTGTCCAGAACCACATTGTTGTCATAGTTCTCCAGCTCCACGTCCGCCTGGCCGCGTCTCAGAAAGTTAATCGTCTCGAAGAGGACATTGTTGTTATTCTGGGCAGAGATTTGGCTCCATGTGGCCATATATGCCAGGCACAGGCCCACAAATATCAGCGATTTGTTTGCCATTTTTGGGCCTTTAGTTACTTGTAACGACTTCTTCTGCACTTTTCACACCAATTGCACAGTCAAAAAAAATATATATATGGGTTTTTTTTGGATATGATAGACGAACGCGTTCTGAGTTCTTGTGATCGACGCGATCGCGAGCGTGTTGCCCAAGCGGATACGTAACTAGAAATGCTGACAAATGCTGTGGCCAAGTTCAATTTAATATTAAATTCGGCGGCGATCGCCGAACGAAACGATCGCTTTGCGAATCTCTCGGCACTCGGTTTTTAGTTTTCGGGCTTTTCGGTTTCTTCGGCTCGCCAAGAATCTTCAAATCTTTCGGAAGACTTGACTATGGACACGTTCACAACCATCTGCGTAGACAAAGACGAAGAGCTGGCTAAAACTGAAAGCTCTGACGATCTGCATTTGAATCTGAAAATGTATCTGTATCTGACATTGACTTGAGCCAGTCGATCGACGATCGTTAGCAACTGTGAATCAGATGCGGAAGCCGGTGTTAAAACATTAAAGGGCCTCCCATGGCTAGAAAACCGGTGGTTAAGATCCTCTTCGATTGGTTTTGGGCTGCAATTAGCATAGTGACATCGTGATTCTGCGTGATTCTTCTTTTTAGCAGAGGAATTCGGGCGGGGTTCTTCGAAGAACCTGTACCCACCGTCTCTGGTTAAATGTCAAACCAAATCGTATATAATTATATAAATACTATAGAATTTTATCGTTTTAGATGTCTATCGGGTAGTTCAGGTTTTAATTTTAAGGCTTACTAATAACTATTATTATTTATGCCAATGAAAGCAAGATGAAAAATTGACTTTAGAGACTAGTTGTATTACACCTGTAAAATTGAAGGAAATCACTGAATCGTTCATTACGTTCATTAAATAAGACTGATGACAAGCATCAACAATTTCAAATTGATTTGCTGTAATTGAAATCTTTCCATCGTAAGATCAGAACTTGTAAATAGCGTTTTAGCTATTATTTATAACTTGATCAAATGAAAACAAAGTTCTCATTTCTCTATCAACCTTTTTCTGCTAATTTTCATCCATTGATATTACAAAACATTCCACTTATAGGACTTGGACTCGCCGAATTTGTACTGTATTGTATCGTCTTTAATTCACTAGAAATCACTCAAAAAATTAATGGTATATACATTTCTTAAGATAACGCATCCGCTGATTGATAAGTGTTACTCATAGTTGGCTTTTTCATTTAAGAAAACATAGGCGTGCCCTATACGAAGTTATGATCCTCCTTTATCATGTCGGCTGCCTTTTCAGCTATTAGGTAGACCGGTCCATTAGGATGGCCCGAGATCAAATAGGGCATAATGCTGGCATCCACAACCCGGAGCCTATCGATTCCATGGACCCGCAGTCGGGCATCCACCACCGCCGAGGGATCCGATCGAGGACCCATCTTGGCGGTTCCCGAATAGTGATAAATGGTGAAGGTGAAGTGTCGGGCATAACAGGCCCAATAGGCGCTGCTCCTCCACTTGTGTTTCGCACAATTGGGTATCCTCTTCTCGAACAAACGAGCGCCGATTGCCTTGAATGCGGACATGTCCAGTAAACTCACTGCCTGTTCGATTCCCCGAACCGTGATGTTCAAGTCATAGGGATTCGAGAAGTAATTGGCATAGATCCTTGGATGCTCCTCGGGATTGCGACTGTTCAGTTTGATGCGCCCGCGACTCTTGGCGCGCAGAATCATGGGGAATATCATGAAGCCATTGGCACTCTGGCGTTCCAGTTCGCCAAACATGGTCTCATAGATGTTCGATTGGATGCCCAACGCCAGACGTAGGGCCAAATTCGTTTGCAATCCACCGCCCACCACAAAGAGCTCCATATCGGCCCAGCCATCGGGATTACGGGTATCGTCCAGGGCATAGAATGATATGGCCTCCACTCCACCCGGTATGCGGAGCACTCCGCGTCCTTTCAGGAAATCTGCCATTGCCTCCGAACGGAACATCTCGCTAATTTGCAGGGAACTTTCGTTGCACAAGACGCTGATAGCCGGAGCTATGTGATCCTGGAGATTATAGCCAACGGCCAGGTCGGCCAGTGGCTTTATGCCCATCTCCCGCAGATGTTTAGCGGGTCCCACGCCGGAGAGCATCAGTAGTTGGGGTGTATTGATGGCACCCGCCGAAAGGATGACCTCCTTTTTGGCCAGAATCTTTTGCATTTTGCCATCTATTTTGACAATTATACCGTAAGCCGTTTTCGTCTGCGGATCAATACAGATCTTGGTAACCAAGGCGTTCTTTTTCACATGCAAATTTCGACGCTTTCCTTTGATGGGATAAAGATACGCCCGGTTGGAGCTCCAACGGGTCTCATTGTAGATATTCGCCTGCAGATAGGACACACGAATCTGCTTCTCTCCATTGTAGTCCCCTTGCGGCAATCCCGCATCCTGTGAGGCCCGCACAAAGGCGTCTGCGATCCGAGTCCTCGTCGCCGAGTAGCTCACCTTCACCGGACCATTGCGTCCCACCAGATTCTCATCGGCATCCGGCACCACGCTGCCCTCGTACTTCCTGAAATAGGGCAATACCTCCTCGTAACTCCAGCCCGGATTACCCAGACTTGCCCAGCGATCGTAATCCCTGCGATTGCCTCTGGTGTACATCATGTAGTTGAGCACCGAGCTGCCCCCCATCACCTTGCCCCTGGGCCAATTGCATCGATTGTCGTTCATGGCCAGGCAATAGCTATTCGATGGCTCTGTCTTGTACTTCCAGTTGACCTCGCCCAGCTGCAGGAGATGCGCCACAATGGGTATGTCCATGGCGTAGTTCTCGGGACCACCGGCCTCCAGGAGCAGCACTCGCCACCGTGGATTCTCGGAGAGTCGCGCGGCCAGGGCACATCCGGCTGTGCCGGCTCCAACCACTATAAAATCATATTTCGCCGATATGGCCTGACCCTCATCCAGATTCTCCAGATCCAATTGCGCCTGGCCGCGACGATAGATCTCGAGCAAATCGTTCAGCACATTGCCAGTGTTGGACTGGCTAATCACCAGTGAGAACTCCAATAGCCAGAGGACAAGAAGGGCTCCGAGGTGATTCCGTGGCGAAGTCATCATGGAGCTTCATCACCTTGCAGCCGGACTCACTCGACTGCCGCGATCGACTGGAACGCTGTGTACTAAGAGCAGAACTAAAATCTAGAGGCTGGGCTAAATGCACCTAAAAAACTCATGGGGCGCCCTGCACTCTTGACAATTACGGCTTTTGGTCTTAACCATCAGTCTAGTTTGAGTCTTATTTTTCCTATTGTTCTACAACAGTGAAAACTGAGAGTATATGTGGAAGCTAATGTGTGCAATGTATTGATCGATCAAAGATCGTAAACATTCCGACAAAAATGCAGTGCGAATGCACAAATGAGAGATTCACGGGGTATCGTATATTCCAGATTGTGTGCTGAATACAGAAATCGCTTAATAACGGGGACTGATCTAGTAATCATATCGCTGGGTTGTGGCTAAGGGAAAATTACAACGAAATTAGAATTTGAAGGTGACGACGAAACTGTGACTGGTATAATTATTACATAAGTACAACTGATTATTATAGGATTCACAGGGGGAAGAACAGAATTTCTTGAACTTGGAAACCCATATAGGTATAAAGTTTTATCCGGTATAGCAATATTATTAAAGTAGATATGTAAATGGAAAATTTCACGAAGTATTGTGGTTGCCAAGTGTAATAAAGTGATTTAACTTTTACAAAAAGAACCATGAAGTTTTGCCCTAAATATACCATGACAAAACTGAAAAAGCAAATATACCATCAAAAATTCATTTACAAAATAAACCTAACTTTTTAAAATCAACACAGCGATAATGTGGTGAAGGTTCCAAGATCGTGAGGGTATTACTAAAATGTTTAGGGCAATCGCAGCTGGAAATTAACTGATGTAAACTTTTAATTTGTTAATTTATTGATTTCTTTCCAAATAATCACTGGGCAAACGATCAGCAGTCGCTTCTAATTGTACTTGCCCACTAGTAAATAGTGATTGGATGTTTGCTTTTATTCATGGGGTTTGTTTTCTTTATTCTTTTGTTTTGTTTCTTTGAAGCAAAGCTTTGTGTTTAGTAAGTAATTTTTATAATTATTTCCGCTTGCATGTGAATATTCGTGCGCTTAGAATGGGAGAGCCCAAGAGAGTCGATTGGCAGACGCTGTGAAAAATTCCAAGATACCCCATACCCGCAGCTTGGAAACATGGTAACTTGGCAACGTAAACTTGGCCAGTCGACCGCAACCGTATGACATACTAAAAAGAGTAAAAATGTATACAAAATAAAAATAAATTAAAATGGTTAATGGTTTTTTGATGTGTTCTCCGCCCCAAATGGCGTCGTTCTGATGGTATATGGTTAGTCGAAGGACACCGCCCAGAGGTTCCGTTTCCAGAAGGAGTATATCACCATCACCATCATCTTCATCATCATCATTATCGAAGGAACACATGACTGGCATACAAATGAGGTCCACAGAAGTTGAGAACCATCTGAAGGGCAATCCAGAACCAATCTCCGTTGACATTCAAGCCCAAATGAGCCGATACGCTGGACACTTTGGAGTCAAGGCTGAAAAAGCATTGCGGCTTCCAATTTCGCAATTCGTCTGCGATTCGTGGGCTTCAAGTTCGTTGAGCTGCCATTCGATTATATACAGTGCAAACAATTCCTGTGAATTCCGCAAATGCATTTCAAGCTCAGCATTCAAGCTAACAAAACTGCTTTAAAGGCAAAGCCACAGATTTTGTGAGCAAGAAAAATCTTTTTTTTAGTTGTAATTAATAGATTTAATTTAATTTAATTTTTCTGAATTTTTTGTGGCCTCTATATTGGAGTTGCGTTAAGAACTTAGGCCTTTTGCATTGAATTACCCATATAACAACTTAGTGCTGTTTTTCGCCCAGTGCATCCAGCTAACGGCAATTAAAGCTTTGGCTCTTACTATCGATAGGTAGAGTGCTAGCTGAGATACAGCAGCAAAATGACTGTTTCTGTTCGCATAAAGTCAAGAATTTAAGCAAACTCGTTGTCTTTGACCGAGTTTTCATAGTTGGCAACTGCCGATTTTGGCCAAGTTGCTCTTAGCTTAGCACTGACTGACAATTTTTAAATTTGGGGCCTCGACCATGTCTTTAGTGGCTCTTTGACACTCACTGGCTGGCCCATGGCATTCGAAGGCGGCAAAGCAGGATGCCAAATCATTTAAATGTAGGATGTCTTACTTGTTATTAAATGTGAAACGAATTTCCCTGTTGATACAGCTGCTGGATTCAAACTGTGCCGAATGACTGGCAGAATTTGAGAAAATGTGCTGGCCATAAAATGTTCTTAACTTAACCATAAAACGCGTCTTTTGGGTTTTTTTTCGTTCTTCTGTTTCGTTGGTGGCGATTAATTGCGTTGACTTCGATCATCATGACAAAGCAACTCGTTCACTTCTAAAAATTTGCATAGACAGTGTTTTAGATGTGGTAATATTTGCCGATCGAAAACAGTTAAGACATCTCATCCCTGATTAATGCCAAAAACCAGTTTCTCAGCGTGTTGTTACATTTCAAAATATGTTCAAAAAGAGCTATAAATATTTGCAAGTATTGAGAGGCCCGATGTTTTATGAATGAATGAAGGTAATATACAAGTATATATTCAATGTTTTTATTTACCAGGTAACACATATTTCTTATTGCAAACTAAATTCTTATTAAACATAATAGAGGGAAATCATTTCGTCGCTTTATTTTGCACTTCCTAAACTTAGTGTAAACATTTTTAGGTGTGTTTTTTTTACAAAGTGTGTGTTTCCTAATTCGACATACTAAATACAGTAGTTTTATCATCAGTTATTTTACGACAGGTCATTACATTCAGTCATTTAGGAGGGTACACATGGAAAAATATTATTTCCGGATTATTATTTAATGGATATATTTTTATTTAAAGTTTTCAATATTTACAAATTACTATTGCAATTACCTTTAAGTTTGCTGAATAGGTTTTCGTTTTTAAATGGAGTAGGTCAACACAAAACTGTCAAAATTTCAAAATAGAGCATAAAGCACAAACTTCTGGCATACGACATCTGAAAATTTGGGCAATGCACAAACCAGCTGTTAAGGAACGTGAGCCTAGGATTACACCTTATCCTAAAGGTTTACCTCTATATAGAGGATCTTCAAGTTCGACGAGTTTCGACAATGAGCCAAGTTGTTCAAAAAGATGTTTTAATAATGTGCAAGCCAATGGGTACTTAATGGAAACTCTGGACCCGAAGCCCATTTGCCTTAATACCCAGTATCAAAGTCGTAGTCTTTCCGAAAATGGTTACGATGCGGACACCGATGATGCTTGTGATGATGAAGGGGATGATACCACAATTACGAACCTGCCGAATTGTAGCCCATCAAGCCCAACTCCTTTGAATAATTTTTTGCTCCCAGAGCCGATTCCGTCCCACAGATTTGGTGGATTTCTCCACGCCCTGTCCCGCAGTTTGTATCACTCTTTGGCCAGGATTGCCGCCGGTCTTGGATTGAGACATCAGCAAACTGCCTGGTACAAGAACTGCTGGCAAAGTCCTGGTTCCAAGCCAAAAAGTGGCCATCTTATGGATCCATCTGCGCCCGTTTCGATTGCGCAGATCCCGATAGAACCGCCGAACAGCGAGAGTTCCACAACTATGTGATGTATTTACCATTTACTTCGCAATGGTGTGTAAAATATATGTTGAAAAACATAAGCTTAGCGGGTTTGTTTCTGTTTTCATTTGAAATCAATAAATGAAAATATAGATTATGCACAACCGGAACACCTGCGTAAATATTCTACAAGAAGTACGTACTTCCTGTACATTATTATTGCATTTTATAGAGTGATTTCCATAATTCGATTACACAAAGGAAATCGACGCATTTTATTGTAGGAAGTCAAGCTGAGTAAATGAATCAATTATTGAGACTTCCCCCGAATTCTTGGAGCCGCAACAAATCGATTCATTTGCAGTTGATTGACATGACAAAGCAGAACAGAAGTTGAATAACATTTTGATACGATCATAATGCGCATAATTGCTATACGGTAACGCACAAATATAGATACAGATACAATCCAAATAGATACACAGACCATGTTTGGCCAGATAACATTATTGTTTGCCAAGCACTAAAGCACATTAAAGTGTGCAATTATTTGATTTGAAGTCCACTATTCGGTGCGATTGTTGTGATCAATGGTCAATGGAGTACACTTAGTTCATTTCAAAAATGAAATAGTTGATGAAGCCAGGAAGTTGATTGGATAGATCAGCGAAAAGATGATGATGGAACCTGGGGTTCATGGATCAAGATAATCAAACGAAAATGCTATAAGTAAATATCGAAAATAATTTGTTTACTAATTAAAAATGGCAGAGCTTCAACCGTAAGGCAATAATTTTATTAGCTTACAATTTTTAAGAATTCCATAAAAATTAAATATTCTGTTAAGGAAAAATCCACACAGTTCCATCAACATTATGCAAATCACTGACTCAATCAACGCAGAACATTAGCCTAATAGTTCTTATAAAATGTATAAACTTACCACTGAATCATAAAACCCGATGTATGCCCAACATTTCCGTGCCCCAAGGTTGCTCAAAAAAAAAAGTGACTAAGAAGTATTTATTCGCTTTGCATCGAATTGAGACTTGATTGGCACCTTTGTAACAACTAAAAGAACTGGCTGTTTGGGTTCCACATCGTATATATGGGTCACTAATCATGAACCAGGGCCGTGAATTAACAGAAAATTGAAAGGAAAAAAAAAAAACAGACACTTCCGCTTGCGGATAGAATGCTGCCATGTTACCATGAATATTTATGCTGTAATCTCGTACAATTCTCAGTTGTTCATGATTTATCGAAACCAATTATAATGGTTTTCCTCTTTTTTTATTTACAGGTGAGTCGCTTGCTGTGGAGTATGCAAATAACTGAATACTACGACTATACCGAGGCAGAGATCAAGTTCATTGGGTCTGGGTCAACTGCTCGCACACGATGGCTTGTCTAACGGAGATCGGAGATCACAACAAGTTGATTGACCTCTAACTGGAACGGTAACACATC